CAGGTTTGCTTTCGCCTTTGCGGCAGACGCCGTCGACACCGGCGCCGCAACTCATTCGACGACGGCGATCCCGGGAACGCCGGCGGCCCCGCGGACGACGACGACGATGACGACGACGACGACGGCGACGACCTGGACACTGTGACAGTGCCCATAACGCTCTGCCTCGCCATCATGGTGTCCTTCATAGTCGGGGGAGCGACACTGTTTAGCGAGTGGGAGCGATGGGACCTGTTGGAAGGCTCGTACTTTTGCTTCATCAGCTTGTCCACGATCGGGTTCGGGGACTATGTGCCCGGCGACAGCATCCACACCGAGTCCGGAGAGATCCAGCTCAGCTTCATCTTCTGCTCCATGTACCTCATGCTCGGCATGGCCCTGATTGCCATGTGTTTTAATCTCATGCAGGTACGTGATGCTGATGCAGATGGCTGGGCAAAACAATATTCATTCATCTGCATAAATAATGCACAGAAATATATTCACACTTTAAACCTCTTACCCTCCCCCGGTCGGCTATACGCCCTCATCATTCATTGTTCATAAATTCAAATATTTCCCCTCAGGCTGTCTTTGATAAGAAGGGGGGGGGGGGGGGGGGGGTGCAGTACATATGAGAATAACCTCCTGAAGGTGCTGTTAAGACTATTTGCAATTATTTATTCATTCTTATTTTTGGATACTTAGAATGAATTAATTGAATTGATCTGAAGAGTGAAATACAGTGAGACCCCCACATGCGGACGCCTCAACCTGCGGACAATTCGACATAGGGACACTTATTTTTCCAGAAAAAAATTAACAAAAATGGCACAACATGAGGACACTGACTCAACATAGGGAAATTTTGTGAAAAAATTGCAAATACATTTCCAGTCTAATTACAAGAAACAGATATTTCCAACCCTGAAATTGATGTAAGAAAAGTTCTTGGGCATTTCTCTCGCCAAATTACTATCCATTTAGCTAATTTAAAAAAGTTACCTCCAGCATAGAGGGACTTCTACTTTTCTTCACTTGCCAAAAGTTCAGTGTACAGTACAGAGATACACTATTCAATACTCCAAATGTTCTTATTGAGTTGAAAATGTATTCACTAATTCAATTTCAAGTGGCAAACAATTTTTTTCAGGGAATCCTGAAGAATATTTCTTCCACAAAACACCAATTAAAAATTATATAATGTTAGTCTATGGGGAAACAAATGAGTTGAAAATGTATTCACTGATTCAATTTCAAGTGGCAAACAATTTTTTTCAGGGAATCCTGAAGAATATTTCTTCCACAAAACACCAATTAAAAATTATATAATGTTAGTCTATGGGGAAACAATACTCAACTTAGGTACATTTCAATTTGGGGACACTCTTGATGCACCAACTACGTCCGCATCTCGGGGTCTCACTGTACATGAGTGTGATAAGTGTAATCTGGAGGGGGTGGATGGGGCAACAAATTTTGAACTTTTAAAATAGAGCGTTGTATCTATCAATCAAAACCAACCACACAGAACATAACAATAATAAATGAGCTTTTAAGGTTCTGCGGAGCACACAAATTGAAAACAACAGCGCTTTAATCTAACCCACATCAAACATATATATATGTGAAAATACTCGCAGTTTTAATGACCTACGCTGGAATCCATTTGTATGTTCATTTTATGCGATAACACCGAGATTTTTTCATCATTTCGTTTATTTTTTAAATTTTTTAGGAGGAAGTTGTGGCCAGTATAAGCGCAATGGGGAAACGCTGCGGGCTAGTGAAGGACGAAGACGACATGGACGACGATGAGGATGAGCAGATGGAAGACATGTTCGAGATGGAGCAAATCCCGACCGTGTCGGAAGTACAAATGGCGCCGCCCGTGGCCGAGGCAGTCGTGTCGGCGTCGTCGGCGTCCCACACGACATCCGCCACGTCATCCGCGTCGTCATCGTCCTCTTCTTCTTCGTCGTCTTCCTCTTCCTCCTCGTCGTCTTCGGGCTCGACGGGCTCGGCGTCGACGACAAGGGGCAGGAACGGGGCCAGTTACCGCCGACGGTGACGGATTTCACACTTTTCAATTTATATTTGATTCAGATCGTTTTTCTTTGACTTGTTTTTTTTTT